GTTTTCCAGGCTCCTGGGTATAGTTCAGTGGTAGAGCATTTACCTAGCACTCCAGGTTTCATCTCCACACTATGGGGAAAAATACAAATAATGTATGACTCCCTTGTGTCAGGCTAGTTTCTTAGACTTACAGACATTTTCATCCTATAGTTCATATATGTGAACCAGGGAATAGTGACTAAAATTGTTTGTTCAGTAGGTAGGCCTTAAGGGAAAGTCTTGACCCTTAGAAATTGTATGTTATGTTCTTTTATCATGGTTCAATAAAATTAAAAGTCAAATCATAATAATAATAAGCACTGCCCGTACTTTTTGCTCAGGCAGCTCCGGTAGGTGGCCCCCACAGGGATATTTTATGTGTTCATACATTAGTGAGCTAAAGAAATTCATAAGATGTTCAGTTCAAACAACACCTCAGTCAGCTGCTATCAACATACGCCTTTAGTCCCAGCTCCCGGTAGGCAGAGGCAGGAGGATCTCTGTGAGTTTGAGGCCAGTCTGGTCTACATAGTGAGTTCTAGTACAGCCAGGACTACGCAGAGAAACCCTGTCTCTAAAAACCAAGAGGAAAAACAAAACAGCAACAACAACAAAAAGCACTTCAGCACTTAGTAAGTTGAGCTTTGAGCCCATGTGATGGTGACTGCGTTGGCAGCTTGGCTGGATTAGGAATCACCCAAGAGATGCCCCTTTGGCCATGTCTGGGAGGGCGTTTCCAAAGAGATTCACTCTGATGTGGGTGGCAGCATCCCTTGGGAAGTGCCAGCATTTCTCTCTGTACTGATTGTGGATTTGGTGAGACCATCCATGTTATGCTCCTGGTTCCTGCCTTCCGCAACCTGATAAAACTACATCTCTCCAAAGTGTGGTCCAAAATAAACCCTTTATTTTAGAAGTTGCTTTTGTCTGGGTATTTTGACACAGCAAGAAAATTAACTTATCCTGTCAAGGTTTTCAAAGGTTTAAAAACTTTTGAGGGCTTGGAGAGATGTCTTGGGGTAAAGGTGCTTTTTGCTAATACTGACAACTTGACTTCAGTTCCCAGGACCCACGTGTAGAAAGGAGAGAGCTGACCCCTCTGTGTAGCCTCTACACGCACATCTCAGTACAAACACATACACATGATAAATGGAAATCAACACACAGCTTTTTGAAAGGGTTTTAAACCTTAAACATTAAAACTATTCCACTATTTCAACTACAGTATTAGGAACCTGTACATAATGTAACGAGTATATATGTACTGTCTACTGTATTTTATTGATTTTAAGGTACATGTTTGACATCTTGGTATTCCTAAGATAAGAATGTCTCATGGTGGGACTGGAGAGATGGCTCAGTCATTAAGAGCACTGGCTGCTCCTCCAGAGGATGGGGTGGGATTCCTGGCACCCATATGGAGGCTCACAATCATCTGTAACTCCAGTCCCAGGGGATCCCACACCCTCTTTTGTCCTCCACAGGTACTGCACACATGTAATGCATAGACATACATGCAGGCAAAATAATTAAAATAACACATAAAATAACTAAAAGTTAAAAATAAGTAAGTAGCATTGTTTGCAAGTCTAATCCTTGTGTACCTTAGAGCCCAGTTCAACAAAACAAGAAACTATAAGGTAAATATGTTGTACTTTAGCTACATAGAGCCAGGGGTAGTATCACACACCTTTAATCACAGCACCCAGGAAACTGAGGCAGGTGGATCTCTGTGAGTTCTAGGCCAGTCCTGTCTATATAGCAAGATTCAGAACAGACAGGGCTATGTAGTGAGAACCTGTCTAAAAACAAAAAACCTAAAAACTGCATATACATATACACCTCATAAGTTATATCAGTAGTAATTCTGTACATAAGTCATAACCGGTTACAATATTTTTAGAAATTTAACAATAACAACCTTAGAAATAATAGAACTAATAATTTTAAAAAGAGAGTCTCATAAGTATGATCAAATATGAAGATGTCATTATCCTGGCATTCATTTATAGATTTGCGTTAGGTAATTTTGTGTAGCTGTGACCAGAATTCCTGACATAAACACTCAAAGGGAGGAATGGTTTGTTTTAGAAGATTTAGTCCAGCTTTGCTTGGCCACATGGACCCTGGCCGTCTTAGCATGACAGAGCAGGACCTCATCTCAAGAACAGGAAGCAAAGTGATGAAAACAAAGAGGACCACATTAATAAAACCCGCTGCTGTTTTATCAGGAAACGAGGAGTCCCTTTAACCGATGTGTTCAGTTACCATGTTCCCTTTCCTTGTTCTCTAGAATAACCTGGGCATCCTGTGGTCTGAAAGAGAAGAGATTGAAACTGCACAGTCCTACCTGGAGTCATCAGAAGCTCTGTACAATCAGTACATGAAAGAGGTATGTTACCTGCAGACAAAAATTAAAATTGGGACTGAGACTCAGCAAGAATTGATACAAGAATTCCTTATTCATGCGCTGTGGAGGTGGCTCCTTTATAAAGTGCTTGTCTTGCCAGCATGAAGGCCTGACTTTGACCCCCAGAACCCAAGTAAAGGGCTGGGTGTGTGGTACATGCTTATAATGCCAGTGCTGGGAACTCAGGCACAGGTGACGCTCTGGAGATCAGGGGCCAGCCAGCCTAGTCAGCTCAGCAATTCCCAAGCCAATGAGAGACCCTGGCACAAAAAAAAAGCAAGGTGTTGGCTTCTGAGGAACACCTGAGCAACATTGACCTTTGTCCCCCATGGGTACATGTATGCACATACACACAAGAATTCTCCATTCATGATATTGATGGGATTTTTCAGTATCCCCAGGAATTTCTCTTTAGAGCTGTCTGAAATTACTTCATATTGAAGACTGGGGTCTTAAAAAATAATCCTCAGGTAGAGCATAATGGCAAAGATAGTCTTAATATAATCATAAAGGAAATACTCTAATGTTATCCAGACATACCATTTGAACATTTTTGTATTAGCTTGTTTTAGATTTATTTAATTTGGTATGTATGAGTGTTTGCTGCATGTATATCTGTGCACTGTGTGCATGCCTGGTGCCCTTGGAGGTCAGAAGAAGGCATCAGATTCCTTGGAACTGGAGTTCTAGATAGTTTTGCAACCGCTAGGTGGGCACTGGGACCTGAACCCATCTAGATCTACAGGAGCAGCCAGTGCTCTTAACCACTGAGCCATCTCCAGCTCATTTTTGTCTGGACTACAGATTTTATTTTGTTTTCGGTAAAGACAGCAGTGCTTTGAGGGAAACCAGCTACCCGAGCAGTACATCTGAAATCTTTGGGCTGTGGTTTGCGACTGTGGTGTGCACATCAGAATCACCCAGAGGACTTGTTAGGCCTCAGTAGGCCCTGTAGGCTCCTGTGTTCCCAGCAACTTGGAAGCTGAGGGAGGAGCTTGCGCTCAAGACCAGCTGTGCCACACAGCAAGACTCTGTCTAAACCAAAACCTATCTCCCAGGCCCTTGTGCAGCAGTTCTGGGCTGCGGCCTGGGAGTGAGCTTTTTAACAAGGTGACATTTGTGCTGCTGCTGCTGCGATTCTGTGTTCTGAGAGCCCTGCTGCAGAGCCGTGTTTCTCCTGATGGTTCCACCCACATCTGAAATGCAGCTTACACAGTTGAGTGTCTCTGGATCCACTGCGGCTTCCTAGCTCCCCATGGGTGATGCTCAGGAGTACTGTCCAGTTTCACGGGCTCTGCAGAACTTGGAATTCTCACTTGAGTCTTCACAGTCCTCCGAGACAACAAACCACCCCTGCTGCCATCTGCTCCCCTCTTTCTCCATGAAGGATGTTAGCAAGCACAGCGTTTTTCCGTGGGTTATCACTGTTGCAGTTACCGGCTTTAAAATCCATTAATAAATTGCTAGTTGGGGGGCTGGAGAGATGGCTCAGAGGTTAAGAGCACTGACTGCTCTTCCTGAGGTCCTGAGTTCAATTCCCCGCACCCACATGGTGGCTCACAACCATCTGTAATGAGATCTGGTGCCCTCTTCTGTGTACATAATAAATAAATAAATCTTTAAAAATAATAAATAAATAAATAAATAAATAAATAAATAAATAAATAAATAAATAAATAAATAAATAAATAAATTGCTAGTTGTTTTAATTTGAGACAGGTCTCACTGTGTAGCCAGAATTGGTCTCAAATTTACAGTCCTCCTGTCTCCACCTCATGAGTGGTGATCTTACAGGTGTGAGTGAGGCACTTCTGGCTAAGAGTGTTAGACATCAGAGCAGTGTTCCACTTCATAAACAGTAGAGTACCTAACGATTATCAGCGACTTATAAATAATACCTCATTGAATCGTAACTTGATAAGGTAGATTGAAACTGCATGGTCTTACACTTTATAGAGAATTGCTGTCCTAATTTTATAGAGAAGGAAATGGAGCACCAGAAATTAAATAATTAACCCAGAATAAATAGTGGAGATGGGATTCAGCCTATGACATCCCTTTTCTTGTTGTGGGTTTTAGACGGTTTCTGATGTAACCCTGACTGGTCTTGAACTCACTGTAACTGAGAGTGAGAATGACCTCTCACTCCTCATCTTCCTGCCTCTGTCTCCCAAGTGTTACTCCAGGCCTGTGCCGCCCTCCCTTACTAGCACCCATATTTTAAGGGACATATTCTGCTGCTTCATTAGTAAGTGCGACTGGACTAGAATGCAAAACTAGTGTTCCTGTAGAGCTGTAGGAAAATGATGGCAGTGAGTAAAAAGAATGAGCTGTAAGTGGAGCCCCTACACTGCACATTCCTGTTCGCTTTGCCGCTCTAGTTTGCTAGATATGTTTAGACTGTGCACCAGGCCCTGGGTGAAGTACTGATGGACCATGAAAACAAAATCACTACCTATAAGAGACCAGATAAAGACTGGAACAGACAGAATCACACCAGCCCAGACTTTCAGGATGTGTGTTTAGGATATGTATCATAGGCCTTTACCATACCCACACCCCAAAAAAACCTATTTTTCCCCCTTGGGAATATCTCCAACTTAGGGACTTTATTTATTTGACACAGGGTCTCACTTTGTAGCTCTTGTTGTCCTGGAACACACTGTGTTCCACAGGCTGGCCTTGAGTTTGGAGAGATCCTGTTTCTGTCTCTGCCTTAGCCTGTTACCTCTCTGCTGAAGTCCTAGGAGAGAAGAACTGTAAAGTAAGGATGCTGAGCATCTGCGGTCCTTCCTCAGAACAGTGTGTATGTGGCAGCATCACACATAGCGCACCCTTTGACTTAGATGGGCCTCCATTTCAGTTAGGATGGATTTGACTGGCAGTGTAACATGTGAGGTGTGGCAGCCCCTGCAGTGAATGATGTCTGGCGAGGTGGTGCATACAGAGGCCGGAGGACCAAGGCAGCGTCAATTCTCAGTTATGTAGAAAGTTTAAGGTCGACTTGGGTTCCACAAGAACCTGTTCCTGTCTGAAAAATAAACCAAAACCAAACAGAAAAAGCAGGGAGCCTGAGAGATAGCTCAGCAAAGCATGATCAGCTCTTCCAGAGGACCCACCACTCACAACTGCTCTCAACTCAAGTTCTGTGGGATCTGACACCCTCTTCTGGCCTCACTGGGCACCAGGCACAAAGGTGGGGCACAGATATTAAACACTCATATACATAAAATAAATACATTTTTAAAAAAAGCAGACTAACTGAATTATATACATGAATGAGGCATGTAATTCCATTAGCTAGAAGGGGGAAAGCCTCCTGAATCACCTTCAGGATTGTTGCAGTCTCTGAAGAGGACCTGTCTGCTGTGTGCCTTGGCTTTCCTTCCCAACTTACAGTTCATTTTTTTGTTTGTTTGTTTGTTTTTTGTTTTTTTTGAGACAGGGTTTCTCTGTGTAGTGTTGGTGCCTGCCCTGGATCTCATTCTGTAGACCAGGCTGGCCTCGAACTCACAGAGATCCGCCTGCCTCTGCCTCCTGAGTGCTGGGATTAAAGGTGTGCTGCAGCACCACCACCACCACCACCACCACCACCACCACCACCACCACCACCACCACCACCACCACCTGGACCCAACTTACGGTTTTAGTCTCTGGAGTTGTAATGTTGCTATATAAAACACTCCGACTGAAAGAAACTGAGGAAGGAAAGGGCTTATTGGTCTTATACGTCCAGGTCTGTCTCTGAGGGAAATCAGGGCAGGAACTCAAGCAGAAACTTGAAGCCACGGGAAATGCCGTTTGCTCGCTTGCTCAGCTATCTTTCTTATGTAGTCAGGACCATTTGGCCAGGGAGTGGTTTGTCCCAGAGCGGATCGGACCCTCCTATTACCAGTTAATAGTCCACATCATCGCCTGCAGACCAGTCTGATCCAGCCAGTGCCTCTCTCAAGTGACTGTGCTGTGTCAGGCTGATCAATTCTCTGTAGAAAGGATTGCTGTCCTTGGGAACTTGATGAGTTCAGTTAAAAGCAAGGATGGGGTGCCGAGGCAAAGCTCAAGGGATATATGATGTGCTTAGCGTGTGCTAGACTCTGGGTTAATTCCCAAGCACCACAAAAAACGATATAGCAAGATGCAAGGATGGACTTGTAGCTGGGACTGCCCTCATAAAGGGTCAACATTTATACTCAGACCGAAGCCTTCCTGTTGTAATGGATCTTGGAGAGTAGTGCAGTCATCCTGACAGCCTGAGGAGGTCAGGTGCTGGGACTCCCACTTGTCATAGACAAGAGAACAGCGTAAGAGATTGGCTTTCCTAAGACGGTGAGCTGTGTGATCACTGCTCCTTATTTAGTTGTTGAAAAGTAATGTTAACACTTAATGGACCTCTGAGTTCGAGGCCAGCCTGGTCTACAGAGTGAGTTCCAGGACAGCCAGGGCTACACAGAAACCCTGTCTTGAAAAACAAAACAAAAAAAACAAAAAAACAAAAAACACTTGGCTTGTTTCCCTGAGTTGATTTTCATTAGTAGTGACAGTTTAAATTGTTACCCAAGAAGATATAAATCACTATTTTTATGCCTATGTATGTTTTCTGCTTTATTATATTTACTTATTTGTGCGTGTGCGCGTGCACATACTCTTTCCACCATGTGGGCTCTGGGGACCAAACTCAGGTGCTCAGGCTTGGCAGCAGGGTGGTTTTTGTTTCTGTATTTTGGAGTTTATTTTGTTTTTTTTGTTTTTTTTTGTTTTTGAGATTATAACATAATTATATCACTTCTCCCTTTTCTCTTTTCCCCCTCTAAACTTATGTAGGTTTTTTTGGTTTGTTTTTTTGGGGTGGAGGATGGGGGTTTGGTTAAAGGCATGCACCACCACTGCCAGGCTTATCTAGGTTTTTAAAGAGCCTTTTTAGTAGACAAAACAGTATTCAAAATACTTATTCAACTAAAGCGAGATATGATGCATTATACCTGTAGTTCTGGCCTTCAGAATATGGAGACAGTGGTATCGCTAGGACTCTGAGGCCACCCTGGGCTACATACTGTGTTCTAGGCTAGCTTGAGCTGCTTTTTTTTTTTTTTTTTTTTTTTTTTAAATGTGCATTGGTGTTTTGCCTGCATGTATGTCTGTGACGGAGCCAGATTCCCTGGAACTGGAGTTACAGACAGTTGTGAGCTGCCATGTGGGTGCTGGGAATTGAACCTTGGTCCTCTGGAAGAGTGGCCAGTGCCCTTAACCATTGAGCCATCTCTCCAGCCCGAAGACCCTATCTTTAAAAAAAAAAAATAAAAAATGCATCTGCCAGCGACAGAGTCACATGGTGAGGCTTGTCCCAGACAAAGGTCATTTCTCCAGTCCCTCCACAAGAGAGCGCTTAGGGTTTGTGTTTAAAGTTGAAAGAGCTTTGTTCTTTAACCACAGATTGGGAGCCCGCCGCTTGACCCAACTGAGCATTTCCTTCCTGAAGAAGAGAAACTTACTGAACAAGAGCGATCCAAAAGGTTAGTCTCATAGAGACCACCGGTGTGTGTACCCAGAGTCTCCCTGGGTGCTTGCTTAAGAATGCACACATGGTGTGTACCGTTCATGGCGCTCCCCCAGGATACAATGTGCATAAGACTTCCTTTTGTCACTTAGAAGTCACATGACTTTGTTCAACTCTGAGACCCAGATAGATCCAAGGGCCAAGCTCAACTCAAATATATATGAAATTTCCTTATAAATTGTAAATCGTTATGTAAGTCCCTTTTTTTCCTTCACAGATTTGAGAAGGTTTATACTCACAACCTGTATTACCTGGCTCAAGTCTACCAGCACATGGAAATGTTCGAGAAAGCCGCTCATTACTGCCACAGCACTCTGAAGCGCCAGCTTGAGCACAATGCCTACCACCCCATGGAGTGGGCCATCAACGCTGCCACACTGTCGCAGTTCTACATCAATAAGGTCGGTCCCAGAGCAGCTCTGGGCAGCCCTGCCAGAGCCTGAAGGCGACAAGGCCGGTAGCGCCGTCAGAGCAGGTCGCTGGATCTGACGGTAGAACCCGGTGTAGACCGCAGCCCGCCGCTCTGGCAGGACACTGTTGGAGTGCTCTGTCCCGTGAAGACTTTGGAGTCTTTAAAAAAGAATGATGTTTCAGTGATTGTTAGAGAATTCCCTGTTCTTTCCCCTCCCCCACTCTTTGAAGTGCTGATGTCTTCATGCCGGGACACATTGCTGTCCCTCGGGTGACAGGCTACCTGCCATCAGTTCTGTTCAGCTGCTAGCACACTTTCATTTCACTTTTGCTCTGTGTTACCTTAAACTGCAGATTTTTATCTTGTTAGAGATAAAACTTTTATCTTCATGCAATACTAATCTTACAACTATGAGAATTTGTCTAAGGAAGTTGACGGTTAAATGTGGGCTTTGATAAAAGCATGTGATGTGTTTCAGTTGCTTTTCAGAATTAGCTGCTCTCTAATAATCATGTTTGATGTTGAAAATATGTGCTGAGTCCTAGAGTTCCAGGTTTTATGACATACTTTGGAACTGCCCCGTAGAGACAAATTTGGACTTCATAGCTGCTTGTCCAAATCACTTAGCATTGTATTGTATTTTGAGTATACCCATTTTTTCCCCAGTACTTTAGTTTCTAATGCACACACACATCTTTTTTTTTTTTTTTTTTTGGAGGCAGGGTGTTACTCTGTATCCCTGGCTTGAAACTTGCAATATAGATCAGGGTGGCCTGGAACTCAGTGATATCTGCCTGCGTCTGCCTCCCAAGTACTGTGACTAAAGGCGTGTGCCACTACCATGTCCGGCAGCAGAAACTGTTTGTAGTTCTGATTCCCGGAGCTCTGACATTTGGAATTCTCAGCCGTCAGCATCCCTCTTTCTCCTCTGATGGCCTGCCGCCACCCTCAGCCTCTTCCTTACCTAGCCTGCTCTCTGGTTCTGTAAATGTGCCTGTGTTTAGAGTGTTCTCCCCCAGAGTGTCACTCAGAAAAACTGTCGGGAGAGAAAGGGCAGTGGTGAGTGACTGTGGCATATTCTAGAAGTTTGCTCCGTGATCAAGCATAGAAGGAAGGCTGTTTGCATTCAGTCAGACTGAACTCCTGGGCCTCCATTTCATCCTGGTCATCATGCAGAGCTGCCCCCCCCCCTTATTCCCTCTAGCTGTTGGGGCCCCTTGTTTGTTTTGTTTAGCAACTTTCATTTTCCTTGTTCAGTATGGTTTTAATTCATCGTACCGAAAGACTGAAGAGTGAGCGTGTGACTTTGAAGTTGTTAAACGTTACTTCTGTGGAGCATGTGGTCATTTTTGTGAGTCTCTCCTGTACCCACAGCTTTTTTTCCCCCCACATCACACCCAACTAAGTTCTGTCACGAAAAGAGAGATTTGAACTGTGTTTGAAAGTGATGCCATCTGTATTGTCACCATCTCCATCTGCTTGGGTTTTGCTGCTCTTCGAGTCCCACATTTACCAGCTACCCGCAGGGTACAAGGCAGTCTCTGTCCTTAGCAGTGGCTGCTCATAGGAAGACAGTCTGGACAGAGCCAAAGTGGTAATGATGGTTAAGACACTGTAGATGGCCAGTCATGTTTCTTCATGTGAGCTCTAACTGTCGTATGGTTGGGGGCTTCATACCAACATTTTGAGTGATGGATGCTGCTGGACTATTGATACCCGTGGTACCCGGCTGTTCTTTACAATGACTCTGAATTCAGTGTGAAGGCGAGAGGTATTACTGTTGAAGTTCTACCAACCAAACCAGTCTTTCAAACTTACTGATATGAAGCTGACATTCTCTCTAATGGGGGCGGCTTCCATTTAGAGGGTAGACTTAGGCTTCCTTCTGCGGGGTGATCCTGCTTTTTGCATGACAAATGACAAGTATTTGGTGTTTAACACAGAGATGTTCTTGAAGTGTTTGAGAAGTTTTCTGCACCCAGATTTGAATTCTGAGTTCTTTATGAGTATTGACGAAGTAGTTCCATAAAGTTCATCTAGAAATCTGTTGATTGAAAACTTGATGGGGAGCCTTACTGTCTTGTCACCTCCCTCTAAAGGTTTAAAGGACAGGAACGAGTCCTCAGTTCTCTGGCACAGCGTGAATGGTCTAAGAATGAAATGTGCATGTGGGCCTTAGGCTATTGGGCTGGACCTGAGGGTATGGTGAGGAGGTTGGATTATAGACTGCTCCTCGTTCCTGGTCGCAGGAGGAGAGTGGACGTCAGTCTTCAGTCATCTTTCCATCAGCTTGGATCAGGATCAGGAGTGTGGGATATTGGTAGTTTATTCTCTAACCTAATACTGTTTCCATAGCAACAACACTACAGGACCCCTTTAGTGGGTACTTTTCCTGATAGTATAGCTTTCCAATGTTAATAGATACCGTTAGTTGTAAACAAGGCTTTGTCATAGTCACACTTGTTCTTGTTTATTTTCCCAACAGCTCTGCTTTATGGAAGCCAGACATTGTCTGTCTGCTGCTAATGTTATTTTTGCTCAAACTGGAAAAATCCCAGCTACAGAAGACAGTAAGTTTGTATGTGCATTTCATTCAATAGTTTCTCACCATGACAATCTTGCCCATGTTGGCCTTGAACTCAAGATCCTCCTGCCTAGCTAAGGACTGCAATTACCAGTGTGTACCCTGATTACTATATAATTAAAACCTAGGTGAAGCCGGGTGGTGGTGGTGCACGCCTTTAATCCCAGCACTCAGGAGGCAGAGCCAAGCGGATCTATGTGAGTGTGAAGCCAACCTGGTCTACAGAGTGAGTTCCAGGAAAGGCTCCAAAGCTACACAGAGAAACCTTGTCTCAAACAACAAAACAAAAAACA